ACTCCAGTCTGGGTGACAGAGTGAGACTCCAACTCAAAAAAAAAAAAAAAAGATTGGAATGACAGAAGGAACCAGCCATGTGAAGACCAGAGGAAGAGCATTCCAAGCAAAAAGAATAACTGGTGCAAAGACCCTCAAGACAGGAACAAGCTCAGTGTATCCAAAGAACAGACAGAAGGCCAGCAGGGCGGGAGCACAGCAAGTGAGGCTGCCTGCTGTTGCTAGAGAGGCTGACAGGACTGAGTGGGGCAGGTGGTGCAGGTGAGCAGTTGGGATTAAATTTTGTGATGAGAAGCTGTTGCTTTGATGCATGACTGTTGTTTTTATTTTGGAGTTGGAATCTCACTCTGTCATCCAGGCTAGAGTGCAGTGGCCCGCTCACGGCCACCGCAGTCTCAACCTGCTGGGTTCAGGTGTTCCTTCCGCCTCAGCCTTCCAAGTAGCTGGAACTATAGGCACGTGCCACCACACCCAGCTAATTTTTTCATTTATTGTAGAGATGAGGTCTCGCTAAGTTGTCCAGACTGGTCTTGAAACTGTGGGCTCAGGCAGTCCTCTCACCTCGGCCTCCCAAAGTGCTGGGATTACAAGCATGAGCCACTGTGCCTGGCCTGACTCTGTTTTATAGAAGGAGAAATGGAGCATCTCTCCACCCAAAGATCTGCCTTGGGCATTCCTGGCAGAGATGGCAGACCCAGCCCTTGGCACAGCGGAATAAAGTCTAGGAATCCAGACTCCACATTTGTGAAATGGAGAAGTGATCACCACTTTGATTCATTCACTGTTTCCTCTCTGATGTCCTAGGCCCTGGGCCATAGACTGGTAGGTTATGTTGGGGTGAGGCATTTTCTTAACTTCTAACAAACTAACCTGGCTCTTCACGGCAACATATTTTTATGGAAGGATCCCAGGCTTCGGAGCCAGTAAAGTGGGATGTAACTGGGCTTGGATACTTATATCAGAGACTTAACATAAGAGTGATTATTATAAGGTAAGGGCCAGGTGTAGTGGTTCATACCTGTAATCACAGCACTTTAGGAGGCCGAGGTGAGAGGATTGCCTGAGCCCACTGGTTTGAGACCCGCCTGGGCAACTTGGCGAGACCTCATCTCTACAATAAATCAAAATGAGCCAGGCGTGGTAGCGTGCACCTGTAGTTCCAGCTACTTGGAAGACTGAGGTGGAAGGATCGCTGGAGCCCAGCAGGTCGAGGCTGCGGTGGCCGGGAGCGTCCACCGCACTCCAGTCTGGGGGACAGAGTGAGACTCCAACACACAAAAAAAAAAACCAGAAAGAAAGAATTCTTAGTTGTAAAACATGGCCACTCTATCAGTTCCAGTGAGAAGCACAGAGTTACTTAACAAAAGAGTCATTAACTTCAGATTTTAGGCCACTGGACCTAAGAGAAATTGCGAACACATTTCACCTCTTGATGTGACCTTACAGCAGAGCTCTGGCCATTAGGTTTGGCAGGCATTGAAGCCTAGCAAACAGACTGGGAAATGACTTAATAGATTCTCATGTCTCTCCTCATGTTTAGGTGGTTTTTCTCCTCTGTGCCTATGTCACAGTGTACATGATCTATGGGAAATTTCGGAAAACGTTTGACAGTGAGAATGACACATTCCGCCTGGAGTTTCTTCTGGTCCCAGTCATTGGCCTTTCCTTCCTTGAGAACTACAGTTTTACTCCACTGGAGGTAAGGGACAGGGCTGGGTACTAATTCCCAGAAGCAAGCTTGCTCCCCACTGTCCTTCCCTCCAGGCCCTCGACTTGCCTTCTGCTGCAACAGTGAGCATTAGTCATTTATTGTTCAGCTGTAAATTTAGAAGAAAATGACAAGGTATTTGCAATGCTCCACTTGAAAATGGGCACATCAGCCAGGCTCAGTGGCTCAGCCTGTAATCCTGTGCTTTGGGAGGCAGAGGTGAGTGGATTCCCTGAGCCCGCGGGTTCGAGACCTGCCTGGGCAACTTGGCGAGACCTCATCTCTACAATAAAAATAAAAAATTAGCCGGGTGTGGCAGCACGCACCTGTAGTTCCAGCTACTTGGAAGGCTGAGGCAGAAGGATCGCCGGAGCCCAGGTTGAGGCTGCGGTGGCCGGAAGCGACCTCTGCACTCCAGTCTGGGCGACAGAGTGAGACTCCAACTCAAAAAAAACAAAAGTGTTTTTAGGTGACGACCGCCAGTGTCGGCAGCTGGACTTGCAGAGAACTGCATTCCTAGAACAATGTTGCGTGTCCTGAGTGTTTTTTCCCCTGCCTTCTCCACTCTTATGGAGTTGGGTGTGAGAGGAATTGTCCAATCTGAATGTTAAACTTTCACAGAAGTGATAGCTGATCATTTAGATTTGCTGCAAAAACAAACCAACACTGGCAGGGTCTGGTACTGA